TAAACTTGATAGTGTTTAAGAAATATTTAATAATCAGACAATACAAATCAACATGTTCTGAATAAAAGATCAAATAAAATCAAACAGCATATTCTTTAAAACCAACTAAAAAGTACATCAAATGAAAATCCATTTCCATCAGAAGGTAGAGAAAGGAAGCTGAGGTAGAAGATGCTCTGTGCTGTTAGTGTCTGCTGTGTTTATCACGCCTGTTAAAATCTATTTGATCTAACTGGAGAGCCAATAGAACTCAGCGAGTCTCTAGTTTCTATGGAACTGCTTATTTCTCAGCTCTGTCTTTTGTTTCTTTTGATTTTTCTGTTCTGCTCTCTCTGGTCTGCCACCCTAACTACCTAGCTCCCCCAGCACTTATCATGGTTCTGTGAAATTATTTTCTCAAGTTCAGGCTTCAGTTGAATGTAACCCTTTGATCAGATGAAAGACTTTTTTTCTCTCTCTCTCTTTTCTGCTGCAGCTAGAAAACAAAAATACTTCCAGTCACAATGTTAGGTTAGATTTGTATAAAAGGGATAAATAAGGGAATGTTTTTATTCTCATATTTGACAAACAGTGAAAACAATGTCTGCAGAGCTTGCATGTAGTGAAACGCAGCAGTTATCCGTTCTGTAACATGAGTCACAACATACCAATTAATGTGTCTTAATGTTCACAGCAGACTGAATAGGCCACATCCACAGAAATGCTCATTTCTCTCAGTGTGTTTGCTCTCTGATGACAGCTGACAGCAGGAACGAGCTTCATTTAAGGCGCTTCCCTGTTGTCCCTGTCAGAGAGAATCATTAATCTAAACCCTACGTGTTTTCATTTGCCATGAAAGAAGTAAAATGATTCTCCTCACGATCCATCATGTAAATCTCTGCTCTCTGATAATGTCTTTGTGTGTGTGTGTATGTCCCCCAGCTGACGAAGACGAGGATAAGGACGACGACTTCCGAGCTCCGCTTTACAAAAACGTGGAGATCAAAGGCATCCAGGTCCGGATGAAGTGGTGTGCCACCTGCCACTTCTACAGGCCGCCTCGATGCTCGCACTGCAGCGTCTGCGACAACTGCGTGGAGGTGTCTGACTTCAGCACACATGCCGTCTAAACATGTACCGAGGTTACACTGAGAGATCGGCCCTGGATGGACTAGGAATCCAAATATCTGCTGGTTCCCATTTGATCTGTGTTTGGAGACCGGTTCCTATCCAGAGAACAGCACTAAAATGCATAATCACTGACGTAGAGAGAAACTCTGGGCCTGTTTATCAGCATAGTGATGTCATCAGTAGTGATGACAACGATACGCTATCAATAGAATTCAGTTAGTAGGTCTGGGATCATGTTAATCTACCTAAAACATTAACATCTATATCAGAAACTAGATCACCTGCTCACATTGTGACGGCGTACGGCTGGAGAAAGCAGATGTTAATCATTTAATCCTGTGGTTCTCCAGCATCCCCTCAAAAACATGGAAAATATCCGCCTATTTTGCTACAGAAACATTTTGCAACGAAGATAAAGCTGTTTATTAATTATAGTTTAAATGCTTTTATCAGTTTCTTTTTAATTCCACAGCCGCACATATTTATGTTTAACCTATTTAGATGGATTATCTTGTGCATTGCAGTACTTTGAAGCCCAAAAATGATGTTGTTAAACTAATAATCATGATTTTTTGTAGAAAATGACTTGAGTGAACAGAATATTGTAGTAATATCCACTGAACAGTGATAAAACAAAAACAGACAGACTGAGTCATTAAGGACTGTAACACAATAGCAGCAAATTAGTGTAATAATCAGATCAGAAAGGAAGGGAAATATTAGGTTAGGAACTGGAATATTTTAATTTATAGGAAACTAATTAGATGAGTGTGCATGATTTTGTGAATGTAATGTCTGGATCAGCAGAGAAAAACAATTTCAGATCAGCTTCTGCAACTAGTCTGCTTCTGTTTACATCTGATCAGGGTAGGGAAAAAGATGTAGGAGCCTTTCTTTGACAGAAACATTGCTGTAGAAGGTAACAGTAAAAGGTAAAAATCAGGGTACTCACCTGACATCCAGAAGCCCAGCAGCATTTGTCTGTTTTTACAGTGAGCGCTGCTGTGAACGGCACGCACCGCTGCTCGGCTCTGACTAGCATAATGTCTGTAGTCACTTAAAACAACTTCACTAAAAAACAGAATAAAAAATCCCTTTATTGTCCCACAATGGGTAAAATCTGGTGTTTACTGCAGCAAAAAGATTATAGAAAAAATGACCACACAAATGTGGTCCTCGGGAAAACTGTATAAGAATAATATAATAGTGAAGAGTAAAAAAAAAATAAACAAATGAAATGTTGTACTGTAAAGTGTTTTAACATTATAAATATAAAAAGATGCTAAATATAAATAGTAAGTTGTTAACTTTAATATGTTTTGCCTGTATATGTAGTGTATTTGTAAACGGCTGATAAGAAACAAACTGAGGTCTTAGCATAAAAAGAATAAATAGATTAATCAAAATGGATTAAACTAAAGGGAAATCATAGCAAATTAGACCACCACATACAT